GTGAACAAGACTACCTTGTAAGGCTTAGAAGAGTCCGTCCTTTTATACAGTGACTCAGCTTTACACATATAGCCATCAGTATTTCTTTTTTCTTTGTTTTGGTCCTGGCACTTGAACTCAGGGCTTGGGCGTTATCTCTGAGCTTTTATGCTCAAGGTTGTTGCTCTACCACTTGAGCCACAGCGCCACTTCTGGCTTTTTTCTGTTTGCTTATGTGGTGCTGAGGAATCGAACCCAGGGCCTCAAGTATTTCTTAACAAAATGAAACACATCCTCCAATCAATATGAAAACTAAAGTATGAAATAGTGGCCATCTTCCCTTGCACTCTCTATACAGGACGGTGATTAGAAGTAAAGCCAGGGCTGGGAATGTGGCTCAGTGGTAGAGTGCTTGCCTAGCGTGCATGAAGCCCTGGGTTTGATTCCTCAGTACCACATACACAGAAAAAGCTGCAAGTGGTGCTATGGCTCAAGTGGTAGAGTGCCAGCCTTGAGCATAAGAAGCTCAGGGACAGTGCACAGTGCCCAGGCCCTGAGTTTAGGCCCCAGGACTGGCAAAAAAAAAAAAAAAAAAGAAAAAAGAAAAAAAGCCAATTCAAGTGTTATGTACAGCCCCTAAAGGGGTCAGAATGAAAATACCTTCAGTGTAAGAAACCTGATGACCAGGGTTAGAATTTTATCAGATAATTTAAAGGACTTGGTACCCAAAAAAAAGGGGCTTAGGTGAACAACTGAAACGAATAGGTAGGAATGCACGCAGAGAGCCCCAGCTCCAAGGGAAAGGGGAACGGGCTTTCAGAGCCTCAGTGCGTAGCATGCTGGCCACTGCGGGCAGAAGCTGCCACAGCACATGTGATAAACATGTGCACAGCCCTGCTGATCTGAACAAAGACTTGGAGGAGCTCTTTGTGATCTACCACAAAACCTAAGTGCACCACTGACCCAGAGGGAGTGAAGGAGAAAGGCTTGCTGAAGTGTCCCGCGGCAGACGGCGTGGAGCTCACAGCTGCTTCTGTCTTGGCTGGCCCTGAAAATGATGGAAAATAAAACAAAACAGAACAGGAAATGAGGCCATTTCAAAAAGCTGGCTTGAAGCTCCAATTTGTAATTCCCTGCTCTTAGACAAGGTAGGAGGGCTCAAAGCCACCCCTTCAGGTTGAGAAGCCTAGACACCCTCTGACAAGCAGGAGGTGAGCGCTGGCATGTTGCCTAATGTGGGCTCTGGGCAGAGCCTGCTGGTCAGCTCTGAGTCCATCCAACACAATGTGCTCCACACCTGCCTTTCCAGAAAAGGACTCCAGTGCACTTCAATTCACAGCCTAACCCTATGTGCTTCCAGGTGCAGCTTTTCAGTATTTGAAACTAACATATACCAAAGGGACCAAGGGGAAAAAACTCCAAAGATAAATAGATTAATAGGCTAAACATTTCCGAGTAGTGACTTGATACATTTCTGCATTTTTCACAGATTTTGTATTGAACAAAAAGAATCATTTTCATTTTTTTCTATTGCATGGGAAAGGCCTGACTGTTACAGTACAGAGACATGTAGGAAGTTAAATGTAAAGCTGTCATCCTTCCTATGTTCAACCTCACTATTTATGTACTAGTAGTCTAGGGTGTAATCCCCAATCTTCTCCCTGGCATATTTTAGTGGGGGGAGGGAAGAGAAAAGGAAACTGTATTTTAAAAGCCCCAATCCAAGTGAGCAATCATAAAAATCTTTTTCTTTAAAGGAATACGGGTTATATGTTAATAAAAGTTTTCAAAATGACAGGAGCGCAATTTAGTACTGCAAGTTCAGTGCAGCTCAACACACAGTGAGAAACCCTGTGAACTGTGAGTAAAATACAGTGAAACCTAATGGGCTACACGATGAAAACCACACAGTGGATGGGTACGAGACCCAGCAAGACGGACAGGACACCCACTGCACGGGGAGAGAAACGAGGGAGCCGGGGAACAAAACCAGGATGAGCAGGGCATACCTTGTTTTGTTTAAAAAAAAAAAAGAGGCAATTTCAAACTATGTATCTGTAATGCTGTGAGGGGCACTTGCTATATTCCACGTCTCTACAACACAGGCATTATTTCTATGACTATGTATGGAACCTTCTCCATCCCCCCCGCCCCCGATTGTGGGGCTTGAACTCTGGGCCTGTGTGCTGTCCCTCAGTTCTGTAGTTCTGTTACTAACAATATAAGAACTGTCCTGTACATGTTTTGGATTTTTTTTTAAAAGAAACACTGTACAGCCAGGGGCTGGTGACTCACGCCTGTAATCCTAGCTACTAAGGAGGATCTGAGGACCATGGTTCAAAGCCAGCCAGGGCAAGAAAGTCTGTGAGATTCTAATCTCCAATTAACAACCAGAAAATTGGTAGTGGCGTTGTGGCTCAAGCGGTAGAGAGCTTGCCTTGAGCTGAAGAGTTCAGGGACAGCGCCCAGGCCCAGAGTTCAAGTCCCATGACTGACCAAAAAAAAAAAAAAAAAAATTAACACTGTACAAACTCAGATGGCCTTTTTTTTTTTTTTTTTGCCGGTCGTGGAGCCTGAACTCTGGGCCTGGGCACTGTCCCTCAGCTCTTCAGCTCAAGGCTAGTGCTCTACCACTTGAGCCACAGCACCACTTCCAGCTTTTTCTGCTTATGTGGTGCTGAGGAATTGAACCTGGAGCCTCATGCATGCAAAGCAAGCACTCTACCACTGAGCCACCTTCTCAGCCCCAGATGGCCTTTTTAAGTGAAGTTTTCCTCCCAGGAGAAAAAGGTTCTGTTCTAAACCTTAACTGTCCAGCAAGTGAGAGCAAGTAAACGAGCACCAGTGAGCATCACTGACCAATAACCACGTGCCTCAGGCATTGGAAAGCAGAGTCCCTCAGGCTTCCCTGGTTCTTAATTTCCAGAGTGACAAGGAGCTCTCCAATCAAGTCTTTAAAAGATTTTAGGATATATGACCTTGCCAAACTTTTCCTAAAGTAGTAGCCAGAAATAGACTGACTCTTAAATAATTGAAGTCTTATTGATACCACAAAGCTTTTCTGGTCCACATTAAGCTTAAGGCATACTAGTAGAGAAGTCCACATACCTCCTCCATCTCTCTCCCTTCCTCTTCCTCCTCCTTTCTCACATGAGTGGTGTGTGATACCGCCAACTATGGCTCCACATTAATCCAAATTTTAGAGTATACCCTTGTGCACACAATAATATGTATATTTTTGTTCCCCCTGCATATAAGAAACATTTTTTGGCCATGCACCAGTGGCTCACGCCTTTAATACTAGCTACTCAGGAGGCTGAGATCTGAGGATCATGGTTCAAAGCCAGCCGGGGCAGGAAAATCTATGAGACTCTTATCTCCAATAAACCACTCAGAAAACTGGAAGTGGCAATGTGGCTCAAGTGGTAGAGCACTCACCTTGAGCAGAAGAGCACAGGGAAAGTGCCCAAGCCCAGAGTTCAAGCCCCATGACTGACAAAAAAAAAAGAGGGAGGGGCTGGGAAGGTGGCTCAGTGGTAGAGCGCTTGCCTTGCATGCATGAGGCCCTGGGTTCCATTCCTCAGCACCACATAAGCAGAAAAAAAAGCTGGAAGCGGCATTGTGGCTCAAGTGGTAGAGCGCTAGCCTTGAGCTGAAGAGCTAGGGACAGCGCCCAGGCCCAGAGTTCAGGCCCCACCACCGGACCCAAAAAAAAAAAAAAAAGAGAGAACGTCAAAAGTTTTTCATGGAGCTGGGAAGGTGGCTCAGTGGTAGAGCACTTGCCTTGCATGCCTGAGGCCCTGGGTTCGATTCCTCAGCACCACATAAGAAAAAAGCCGGAAGTGGTGCTGTGGCTCAAGTGGCAGTGCTAGCCTTGAGCTGAAGAGCTGAGGGACAGCGCCCAGGCCCAGAGTTCAGGCCCCACGACCGGACCCCCCCCCCAAAAAAAAAGTTTTTCCTAGTCCTAGAGTTTTCAAACTCAATTCAAAATCGCAGAAGCTGCTGAAGGCCTTATTCACTTCCTAGAAGTTTCTCATCAGTAAGGCCTTGAAGGTAACCTCCATTTTTATTTCTTGTGCTAGCTGCCTCTGAGATCTAGAAGACAATTCTTTCACCTTTATTTGCACTAACACACAAATGCGAACTGACCTGAGGCTTTGTCACCAGAGGACAAGTGACCGGGTGATGGCATGGAACCTGACGGCTTTAGGGAAGGTATCAGAGAGCCCTGAAACAGAACAAGAAAATTGTTTAGGCTAAAGCACTAGTCATTCTTGGAATACAGGAGCAAGTATAATGTAAACGTGAAAACAAAGTAAACAAGCCAAAATAAGAAGTGATATATTAGGTTCACAGCTGCCTGCCTAGTACTGTGCACGGCACACAAAAGGCCCTTGAATACTGAGTGGAGGAAATGAATGAGTGAGCAAGTGAGGGAAATGGATGAACTCCGCAGGAGTTCATGATAAGATGATAAAACTGTCCAAGTTCTCTGTGTCCAGCCAGTGGCTCTGCAGGCAGCTGTCACGCTTTATGCCTTCACACACATCCTCTGCGGTAAACATGGTCTCCAGGAGGAGACCATGCTTAACTCACGGCAAACCAAGGAATGGGGGTCATGCTTGAGAACTCATGGTGGCCAAGTTCTGAGGTTCCTCTCAAGCTCTGATCTCAAACACAATCTGAAGTTCCTTGTATCAAAGACAAATGTAAGTTGGGAGAAACCACGATTCCTTAAGGGAAGTTTCAGAAGGAGCGCCACCTACCTTCCAGCCATCTCCTGTTATTTTCTTCTGTGGGGTTGCATCTGTTTACAGTTATGTAACCTACTTTTGTAGAAGTGTGTTTTTATTATTCAAAAGGCCAAAGCTAGACATAATATCACTGGAAATATGCAAACGCTGAGAAGAGACTAAGAGAAAACACAAGCCATCCACTCATTGGTCACTTATACAGTACGACAGCCAGCAAAGACTGGATGTCTGTAGCTGGGGTCCAGCTCTGGCGCACCCAGCCACTGACTACTGAACAGCTCGCATGGGTCTCTTGGACCAGGGCTGCTTCATCAGTGAGACACATCTAGACACCTCATGCTCTTGATCAGCTGAGATAATGTGAAGTGGAATAAACTGAAAACCAAAACTCCTCACCCAAATATATAGTATTAGAATGCCAACAGCTGGTGTAGAATGACCAAGGACCTGTGAAGACGCGGCGGGTCCTGCCTGGCTGCTCTGCTAACCATGGCAAGAAAATGTCTAGGCCCAAGCACCTCCTCGCAGGTATACAAAGTAACATACAGACAGAACCACCTCCCAAGAGAAGGAACAAAGGACCTTTTCTTAATTGGTTTTCTCTGACTCTGTATTCTTTACCTCATATAGGGTGTATACCCATGCACATCTGAGGGCAGGTGGGGGGAGGGCACAGAATCAGTGGAAAATGGGTGAAAAAGTACAGCAGGGCCACCGGCTGCACTGGATGTTGATGAAAGTGAACCCACGATTCACAGGTGGAGACTGGAGGGAGGGAATACAAGAGAATGAGGGAATAGATGGTATTAAGCAAAAGGAATGTATGTATCACCTGACATATGTAAAGGTAACCCTGCTGTCTACCACCTCTAAAACAACAATCAAGTAATTGGGAAAAAAAAAGTTTAGGAAAAATGGCCACAAGCCTTCAATAAAACTGTGGCTCACTGAGACAGAGACAGGACTAAACCAGTACAAAGAAGAGAGCGCGTATGACTGTCAAAGTGAAAAACGGCAGGTTACCTGCTTGGCCTGGCTGGCAGCCACGGGGGCTAGCACTGGGTGAGGAGCTTTAGCTGTGGAGCACGGCACCGGAGAACTGAAAAACACAAAGCATGCACTCACAAGGAGGCAGACTGGTGAAGAGCACACACATCCCCAAGCCTGCTTTTGGTGCCACACACGATACCAGCGGGGAGCACAAGACAGATTTCTGGGGCTCCCCCCAAATGCACTAGACATTTTGTGGAACACTAGCTTTTAGACAACATTTGGGTTTTTAACCATAAAATTCAAAGCAGCAACCTTAAGACACATGTCCTGTTTAGAAATGGATCTTTCGCCAATCTGAAGAAAGACTTTCCACTTCCTATCCCCTCCCCACTCTGGATCATGTGGACTGCTGATACTTTTTTCCAAACCTAAAAAACAGCATGGATGCAATAAATGACCTGCTGCCACAACCAGCCCAAAGGTGTTATACCCAAAGAGATCAGCGCTTCTAGAAGCGGCTATCCCCAAGAGCCTTGGCTCCCAGGTCAGGACATGCGGGGTTTGCTTCCAAGCTGACCCTGTGCTGCCGTACCCAAGCGCACTCCTACTCAGAGATCTTCAGCTCACCTGAGCACCATATGGGGGGAGCTGTTACTTTATTATTTGCAGTAAGAAGTAGAGATCACCTTTTGTTTTTCAGAGCTCTTTCCAGACTTAAGGAGGATTATTAAATTCTCCATCAAACCAGGTTCTGATGGCCTGTGCCTGTGATCCTAGCTACTCAGGAGGCTGAGATCTGAAGATCACAGTTCAAAGCCAGCCTGGGCAGACAAATCTTCAAGATTCTTCAATTAACCAGTAAAGAGCCAAAAGTGGAACTATGGCTCAAGTGGTAGAATGTCAGCCTTGAGTGAATTGGAACTGTTGCATGCGTGCGCGCACACACACACACACACACTTTCAATCAAAAAGTTAACTTGGATGAGGAGAAACAAAGGGGTCCATGTCACATCGAAGTCCATTAAAATGTCTTGACCCTCACAAGCACATGGGATTCTCTGCTGGGATAACACAGGACCCTTCCAAATAGACTTATTAGACTAAGACAACAACAAAACAAACAAAAAAGGACTTATTTCTAATAAAACGACTGCTGCGCTCCACGAGAGCTGCAGGAGTAATAACTGCGCATGCCTCTGGAGGAGAGCTCCTGTGTCCCGCTGGCACGTATCGGCAGGTGGCAGGAATGGCAGGTACAACGACCGACCCATGACCGCCCTCTGCTCGGCTCGGTCTCCGAGGAGAGAAGGAATGTGCAAAAGCAGACTGCTGGGAGCCGAGCAATCCCTGGGTAGACACAGATTTGCTGAGAGAAACAGTCTGAGCTGGCAAGAATCACAAGGGAAATGAAGCTCTTATGCTCTCTCAAAAAAAAAAAAAAAAAAAAACTAGAAATAAGGATAAGACTAGCAATTTACCCCCATCTTGGGAAGCTTCTCATACCTGAAACTTAGTTACAACGTGATTTAAGTAAAATCATGCAAGCACTAGATTGAGCACAATTACTGTTCTATTGACTTGTGATGGTGCTGTGTATCTATCTCCTGGGTATCCTGAATCCCAAACAAACAAAGCAAAGATTCACAGTACCAACACTCCATCCCAGGGGGCAACGTTCAGGGCAGGGCTGTTCAGCACAACCTGCCAGTAAGCCAGCTGATAAACCAGGCTCAAGAAACACCCAGCACAACACAAAAGGCAAAACAGAAAAGAACAAGGAGACGTGCCCCAGGCATGCATAATAAGCGGCAGTCACTGGCTACAGTGTCCATGAGAGGGAAAGCCGAAGTCAGAGCTAGCACAGCAGGAGCAGCTTTTTTTTTTTTTTTCGGCCGTGGGGCTTGAACTCTGGGCCTGGGCGCTGTCCCTCAGCTCTTCAGCTCAAGGCAAGCGCTCTACCACTTGAGCTACAGCGCCACTTCCGGTTTTCTGGTGGTTTATTGGAGATAGGAGTCTCACGGTCTCTCCTGCCCAGGCTGGCTTTGAACCGAGATCCTCAAATCTCAGCCTCCTGAGTAGCTAGGATTACAGGCGTGAGCCACCAGCGCCCGGCCAGCAGGAGCAGCTTTAGTCTGACCTGAAAGATAGCAAAGAACATTTGCATACTCGGTTCTACAACATGAAACAGGTACTAGAGGAGCATAAGCAGAAAATGACACAATTCAAAAACTGGAGTCGCCAGAGACGGTGTGGTGGCTCACGACTAAAAGCCTAGCTACTTTCAAGACTGAAGGCCAGGCAAGGAGAAAAGTCTGTCTCATCTCGTCTCAACAGAGAAGGCTGGATGTGGTGGCAAATATCTGTCATATCATCTAGAAAGCAAATAAGAGGATTGTGCTCTAGGCTGGCCTGGGAAAAAAAGAAAGACCTGATCTCAGTATAAATAACCAAAGCCAAGACAGGGCTTGAGATGGGGCTCAAGTGGCAGATCATCTACCTGGCAGGCACCAGTCCCTGAAGTCAAAATCCTCCTACCAACTTACAGCCACAGCCCTGAGCTGTTAGACTGGAAGCACAGTGAAGGCCTCCTCCATGGTCCCATTGGTACGCATGAACTTGACTCCACTGTCATGAATAGGGTCTGTCATCTATTTCCACATGGTAAAGGAAGGAAGGACTTAAATGACAGAGGCCCAGTCAGGTTTTATTACCACACATGTTTTAACATGGCAGGTCAGACCTGAAGTGCACATGTCACTACATTCAAATCATCCCACGAATAATGGGTATTTGGCATTAACTAGAAGGAAAGAGGACTACCTACTAAGAGAAAAGAAAAAGAAAAACCAAGCAGGGGGAAAAGACACATAGGCATAGGGAATATTATTTCTATTGGTAGAAAATGAGAACAGTTCACTCTGGGGAGTCCATCAATGGAGCCATTTCTGCCTGCTATTGTCCCCTGCTGGTGAATTTAGTGTCTTTGAAGACTCAAGCTTTTTCCAAAGTTGGTTCACCCTGTGGTTTCTACACGAACGTCTAGATACAGTACTTGAACAATGTACGGTAGACATTGAATTTCATGCAGAAATACAACATGCAGCAGCACAAAGTAAGACTCTCCTTGTTCTTTAGTAGTGTACTATCACCTGAAGACAGACTAGGTTAAAGATGTATATGACAACTGCAATTAGCAAGATGGTTAGTAAGTCAACAAAAAGAGGTGCTGGTAGCTCACACTTGTAATCCTAGCTACTCAGGAGGCTGAGATCTGAGGATCACGGTTCAAAGCCAGCCTGGGGCCGGGCGCTGGTGGCTCATACCTGTAATCCTAGCTACTCAGGAGGCTGAGATCTGAGGATCACGGTTCAAAGCCAGCCCGGGCAGGAGAGACCGTGAGACTCCTATCTCCAATACAACCACCGGAAAACCGGAAGTGGCACTGTAGCTCAAGTGGTAGAGTGCTTGCCTTGAGCTCAAGAGCTGAGGGACAGCGCCCAGAGTTCAAGCCCCACGATCGACCAAAAAAAAAAAAAAAAAAAAAGCCAGCCTGGGCAGGAAAGTCCAATAAACCACTAGAAAACCATAAGTGGTGCTGTGGTTCAAGCGGTAGAGTGCTCACCTTGAGCTGAAGAGCGCAGGGACAGCACCCAAGCCCAGAGTTCAGGCCCCACGACCGACCAAAAAAAAGGTACAAAAAAAAAATGTGGCAGAGCTAGCCTTAAGTGAAAGGGCTCAGGGACAGTGTCCAGGCCCTGAGTTCAAGTCCCACTACTAACCACCCCCGCCCCCCCAAAAAAGAAAAAAAACGGAAGAGGCTGGGTATGGTGAAACATTCCTATAATCCCACTTACAGGAGAGAGAGAGAGAAATGGGAGGATCATCATTATTTGAGGATAGTCCAAGCAAATGTCAGCAAGACCTTTGGTGGAAAAACCAAACCAAACTAACTAAAAGCAAAAAGACTGGGGGTGGATTGCCTACTTAGCAAATGCAAGGCCTTGATTCAATCTCCAATACAACAATAAAAGCAATCTGGAAAAACAGAACAGGAACACAAAGAGAGAAAAAACAGCGATGTGTAGATATAAACCTCAACATGTTTATACACCAGACTTAAATGGCCTAAGCAGCCAGTGAAACATCACAGACTGTCAGATAGAATTACAAAAAAGTAAGGACCAACTATTTGCTTCAAGAAGAGCATTTTAAGGCTACTGCCTGGGGCTTGAACTCAGGGCCTGGGCACTGTCCCCTGAGTCTTTTGCTCATAGCTAATGCTCTACTTACTTGAGCTACAGGTTTACTTCAGTTTTTTTTTTTTTTGGGGGGGGGAGTGGGTGGTTAATTGGAGGTAAGAATCTCATGGACTTTCTTAACTAAGCTGGTTTTGAACTGTGATCCTCAGATCTCAGCCTTCAGTAGCTAGGATTACAGGTTTGAGCCACCTAAGGTTACTTTTAATGGTTAAATACATATATTAAAAATGACCATCTGGGCTGGGAAGGTGGCTCAGTGGTAGAGCACTTGCCTTGCATGCATGAGGCCCTGGGTTCGATTCCTCAGCACCACATTAGCAAAAAGAAAAAAGCCAGAAGTGGCGCTGTGGCTCAAATGGTAGAGCGCTCGCCTTGAGCTGAAAAGCTGAGGGACAGCGCCCAGGCCCAGAGTTCACGCCCCACAACCGGACCCCCCCCCAAAAAAAAAAGACCATGTAGGGGCTGGGAAGGTAGCTTAGTAGAGTACTTGCCTACCATCTATGAGGCCCTGGGTTCAATTCTCAGTACCACATAAACAAAAAATAATAAACAGTTTTTAAAATATCTAAAAGTTAACTGTTTAAATGTATAGTTAAAATAGCATTAATTTAAAAAATCAGCAAAGGACCCAACTAGACATTTGTCCAACCATGAATGAAATGGCCCCTAAGTACACAAAAAGATAGGGTCCTGAGGCACGAGGGCAGTGGAAATCACAACCACCACACGAGTGTGAACAGACCATGTCACACCCTTATCCAAAACACAGTGGGGAGCAACTGTTGCTGGGACAGTGCAAACTGGAATGCAGCCACTGGAAAAGTCCAAACTAAGCTCAGTATGGAATGAAATTCCACTCACAAATACATACTCCAAAGGACGAGGACAGCTATTCACAGCGGACGGTGTCCACCGCTGTGCCCCTGCGCTTCCTCTGCCCCGGCCACCTGTGCTGAGAGCTTTCTTCTCTCAGTTGTTCAAGAGAGCTACACTTTGGCTGTTTTGTTTTCATTCAAATGCCGCCTTCCTGGCCACTCTACTTACAATTGTCACCTGCACCCAACACCGGCTCCTAACCCTTCCCTTGCATTGCCTTCCTCCATCCCACCTATCAGCACCCAAGGCTTTATGTGTATTACTTCTTTTGCTGGTTGTTTGTCTCTCCAAGACCATAGCATTGCCTTTCCGTCTGTTTTCTTACTGCTTTATCTCAAGCACTTATAGAGCAAAAAATCATGAAAGATCTGGGTGTTGGTGGTTCATGCCTGCAGTCCTATCTCAGGAAGCTGAAATCCGATGATCATGGTTCAAAGCCAGCCTGGGGACTGAGGATGTGGCTTACTGGTAGAGTGCCTAGCATGCATGAAGCCTTGGGTTTGATTCCCCAGTACCACATAAACAGAAAAAGCCAGAAGTGTAGCTGTGGCTCAAGTGGTACAGTGCTAGTCTTGAGCAAAAGAGCTTTGGGACAGTGCCCAGGCCCTGAGTTCAAAGCCAAAGGTTCTGAAAGCAACGGTCTGTCTGGTGTACTTTGGCCCATTCTCAGTGGTGGCTTGTACACACTCTGCAACCCTGGCTAGCACTCTGGGTATTCACTCTGCCGAGCAGCTTCCCACTACTGAAACTCCAACTCCTTTCCAGCTCCCTCTAGACAGCAGCCTTGAATGACTGCCAGGTCTCTGCTTGTCTAGCCCTCCTGCTCTATTAACCTGCAATGAAGCAAGTGGGAATGGGGCAGTTTCAGGGCTGTGTCTCTGCTGGGCTCTCAGTGCTGTGGGAGCAGGACCAGGCTTGGCCTCTCACTGCCCTTTCCCTAATCCCCATCACAGATGTCCAGTGAGCGGGAATCTGCTAAGCAGGAGACAGCGCGACAGAGCTCATGACAGACCCAGGAGCCAGGGTCTGCCCCAGATCCTCGCCTGCGTAAAACAGGGCAGCCAGTCACTAACAGGACGGTGATGTTAGTGAGCATACTCCTGTGACACAAACATGGAAGTCTGTCCTGCAGTGTCCCTAAGACACACTCAGAAAATGCTAAAAGCAATGCTCAATACAAAATGCAATGCACTTAGAAAACAAGTCCTTCAAGGAATCTGAATCTGGAAAATACAATTTTTACTTGTCCAGTACATTTAGAGTATTGAGCAAATGATTCTCTAAAAGGAACTCCGTCTCAGGCACCAAGCTGGGTGAAGAGAAAATAGCTGGGTGACTTGGGGCTGGGAAGGTGGCTCAGTGGTAGAGCACTTGCCTTGCATGCTTAAGGCCCTGGGTTTGATTCCTCAGCACCACATAAGCAAAAAGAAAAAAGCCGGAAGTGGCGCTGTGGCTCAAGTGGTAGAGCGCTCGCCTTGAGCTGAAGAGCTGAGGGACAGCGCCCAGGCCCAGAGTTCAGGGACCACGACTGGACCCCCCCCCCCCAAAAAAAAAAAGTGACTTCAGGATTCTCCTTCAATCTTGATCTACTCTACTTCTCTTTTTAGAAAAAGAGCCAACAATGGTGCCGCTAGAACAACGCTGTTGTCAGGGACCAGGCCGGATACACCAGGAAAGACCAAGCCTAAGCAGCGGTCGAGAAGCGCAGAGATGGGCACGGCTGAAATGGCTGAGGTGCGGCCCAGGCCGCGTGTTCCTGCCTCATACAGCACGCTTTTAGGATGGAAATCTCGCCATAGTTCCTAGACTCTAAAGCAGAGTGTTTGAGAAGTTCACACCAACCGCAAATACCACATTGGTCTACATAGTACTCCACAGCTTCAAGTTCATCCTGTGATAGGAAAGATGGTAAGCTTGTTTTTGGCTGCTAGTATGGCCCTCTACAACAGGCAGTGCTGGTAAGTGGATGACAATGGAAAGAGGAGCAGGGAAGTGGAGCTACCCCACAGAGCACAGACGGGCAGCTGGCGTGCTCTGCGGTGGCTGTGGACAACCGGCATAACCAGCCCCAGGGCCCATGGCTGCTCGTCTTGATGAACTCTGAGTCCCAGACACAAACTCCCTGCAAGACACTGCTTGATCTTGCCCTTCCCCACCAGGCACAGGCGCTGTGGCTCAAGTGGTAGAGCACTAGCCTTGAGCTGAAGAGCTGAGGGACAGAGCCCAGGCCAAGTTCAAGCCCCACAACCGGGCCCCCCTCCCCCCAAAAAAATATTTATTGAGCCAGGCACTGGTGGCTCACACATATAATCCTAACTGACTCAGGGGGATGAGATTTAAGGATTGAGACTTGAAACCAGCCCAGCCAAGAATGTCTGGGAGACTCTTATGTTTAACTAACCACCGCAAAATGTGGAAGTGGAGATGTGGCTCAAGTGATACAGCACCAGCCTTGAGTGAAAGAGCTACAGGACAATCCCCAGGCCATGAGTTCAAACCCCAGTACTGGCACACATGTACAAGAAAGATACTACTGAGAACCTTTCAATAAGACATACTGTTCAGATGGTGTACGATAAATGACTAGAATGCTCTCTGCTTTCAGGGAATCCACACGCTAGTTAGACAAGTACTAGCCAATGTGTACATTGGTAAAGGCGTGAGAGTTCAGATGGATGAGAACCTAGGCCAGACCTGAGTTTCCACTTACCCTTAGCAAGCTGTATGTGGTTCTACATGGCAGCCTTAGCCATAACTACAACCATCAATATGACGGCAAAACGTAATCGTAAATGTGAACATCAAGTCCTGAGGGTAGTGAAACAGGTTCTGTCTGGACGTGGCCTTGGAGGCTCAAGGTGCTGTTAGGACACTTATAGGGAGGGAAGGGGGCCCTCTGCCTGTGGGTGACACAGGCCGGGTCACCTGCCTATCACAATGGCCAAGAGCTGACAGCGCCAATGGCGGTCAAGTCTTGAGATCATCAGAGGATTCAGACTCTTCTGGAAAACCTGAGAGCATTAAGTAAATAAACAAACTGAACTCCACTCCTGACTTCACACCCTATAGGCTATTATTCTCTGCAGACTTAGACAGGGCAGGGAAGAATCTAAGTGGATACCAAGACAGGCTGTAGGCCGATGAGGCAATGCCTGGTCCTGGCAGGTTGAAAGGACAATGTCCTTTCCTGGCCGAGCCGGCAAAATGCGTCTGTGACAGGCATGGTGCCCTCCCTGCAGGTGGTCCTCCACTTCACAAACACCTGCTGGCCCCAGCCCAGCATGCCGCAACATACCCCAGGGCTGCAGACGGGACTGCAGGGGTACTCTTCAACTCCTGCACGTTCACCACTTGAGGGACAGTCTTCAAAGTGGATTCAGTCAAAGTGCTCACAGCTGTAGAGAAGAGAGAGCGGCATTAATTCCAGAGAGGATCACCAGCCCTGTAACTAGGATGAGAACTCACGCAGACTTATTACATGAGAAAAAGGGCTCAGCATGTGATGAGCGGAACACTCCATTGTCCAAGGTCAGGGAGAGAGGCTACACGCAGCTAACCAAGCATAATAGTGCAGAAGCGGGGTTCTGAGCAGTCTTGCCACATGGCACTGGGTACCGCCACATTGCTGGTTTATCTCAGGAAAGGCCAGCAGAGCCCAATGGTTAGCAGTTTTGGCTCAGGACCTGTCTCTTTTCTTCGCCGAGAACGCATCACTGTTCTAAAATACAGCTGCTTCCAGGGGAGTTCACAGCTTAGTGAGACAGACAGACAGACTGACTGACTCAATGAGTAAGATGTGGAAAACAGAGGTCAGAGAGGGAGGCAATACAGGAACACCCTGGCCGCCAACTTAGCTACCTAACTTACCCATCAACTTCTACAGCACTTAGTGTCTCGTCTCAAGGATATTCTCCAACTAGCTCAGGTGAACTGCCCACAGCCCAAGTGGTCTGGTGTGTCTGCGCTGACTGTTTCCTTCCTCAGAGGAGTGACCAGAAAATCTTGACTACAACTGTACAAATTCTGCCTTCACATTCAAGATGTCTACACATTAGAAAGCTGTGCTCTGCTTGGACAATGGAGACCACAGCACCTCCTGCTGGACAAAACATCCCTAGATCCCACTGCCTGGCTTGGAGCTTGATCAGTACAATGCCAAGATTCTCAGTGGTAAACACACAAAGAGACCAGGAAAAACTATATGTTCTGAAAGCTCAAAGGTGCTTCTGGTGGCTCACATCTATAATTTTAGCTACTCGGGAAGCTGAGATCTGAGCATTGTGGTCCAAAGTTAGCCTAGGGAGGAAAGTCTCAAGAATCTTATCTCTAATGAGTAAAAGACTGGGCCAACTACCTGGACTGCAGAATTCTAACCTAGGGGCTGGGAAGGTGGCTCTGTGGTAGAGGGCTTGCCTTGCATGCATGAGGCCCTGGGTTCAATTCCTCAGCACCACATAAGCAGAAAAAAGCAGGAAGTGGCACTGTGGCTCAAGTGGTAGAGCACTAGCCTTGAGCTGAAGAGCTCAGGGATAGTGCCCAGGCCCAGAGTTCAAGCCCCACGCCCGACAAAAAAAAGAAAAAAAAAAAAAGAATTCTAACCTAGACGACTCTGGATAACCACAAACTTAAAATGTTCATGCGGAGTCGCCTGCTAATACTTCCTTCGCAGAGGCTAAACTGTTAATGTTAAGGAAAATCTATTTTGAAAACAGAGCACAGGGCTGGAGTGAGCTTCTGCTGCTTACTGACTACAAGCTTCATTTTCTGACTCTGATGCTACTGAAACACAAAATGGACACACTCCTAGGGTGGCTGGGGTCTTTGAGATACTATCTAGGAGATGGTGCTAGTGTAACCACATGGTCTAAATTCAGAAACTGTTAGGAGCCGGGCTCCAGTGGCTCACATCTATAATCCTAGCTAGGCAGAAGGCTGATAGGAACACATTTCATAGCCAGCCTGGGCAGGGAAGTCTGTGAAACTCTAATCTCCAATTAAACATCAAAAAAGCTGCAAGTGGAGCTATGATTTAAGTGGTAGAGCACTAGCACTAGCTCAGGGACATTGCCCAGGCTCTGAATTCAAACCCCAGGACTGGCACACAAAAAAATTAAGAAACTGTTTAGGACTCAAAACAAATACCATTCAAAAGCAGGAACTTACCATCATCATCTAAAAGCTCACTGTCTTCCCACTTAACTGAAGGTGGCAGATCTAACACCTCCCCTCAAAAGGAAAGGAGTTCAAACATAGCTCATCTCCGAGGGGCTATTTTCCTATAGGATGAAGGTGGTCACACCACACCCCTCTCTTGAGCCACACAGAAGACAGCCAGTTGTTTCCTGCCACTTGCTGTCCCGGCTGCAACTCGGACAGCTCACAGCCAGTGTGCCACAGGTTGGGGGGCACAGTTTTTACCTGGCGCCTGACTGGCCATCTGGCGTCTCAGGGCTGCAGCGGCGGCTGCCTGGGGGGCAGCGATGGGGTGGGAAGGGCCGGGGGCGCCGTGCTTCACAGTTTTCGTCGCCAGCATCGTGCTGTCTGCCCCCTGAGGAATGATTTTGCTGGTGGATGTAGACACTGAGGGCAAAGGAACATATGTGAAGTGAGACTGGGCTAGGGGAAGGGAGCACAGCAAAGTTAAATGGTCAGGTCTCCATGGTGGCCTACAGGGACTATGCTAAAATCATTCTTAAGCTTTCACAGTAAACGGACAGGCTGGCACCTGAAACTGTTATTGACACTGGACACAGTGTGCCTGCTCATCTCCATCCACTATCAGCTGAACATTTGACCCACTCATGTCCTCTGTGACTGACAGGAGATAATTTTCCTATCTGTACTGGGGTTGCTGGATATTCATCATTGTGGATCCAACAAAATTATCAAGACAGGCAGGGCAGCTGTGAGAATATGAGAAGCGCATATGTCTGTCCTGTCACACACCAGAGGATTTTACTGCAGCTTAGACCAAAGCTCTGATCACTGCTTAGCTTGCACGCAGAGCCCACCAGTGCATTGAGAGCCGGTGCACAGGAAGGCTGCGTCATGAGCAACTCTGAACAGCACTGGAGTTGGTGCTTTTGGGGAGGAATGTACTAAAGGCTGGAGTGAGCTGGATTTGAAAGGCCAGAGTATGGATATTGCCCCACAGTATAGCTGGTGCAGAGCATAATGCCAGGGAAGCTGTTACTCTTCACAGTGGTCTACCTGCATCTTTCAGGGTGGAAATCACTCTTTCACCTTCAGATGAAATGAGCTGGAGCATTCCTAGTGGAACTATCTAAGACCCAGAGATCCTTTGGTAGTCCGAAACCTACCAGGGAAGAACGCTTCCTGTCTCTGTTGCTGACTTACTGGAAGTTCCCATGGCGGCAGGGGAGGCGCCATGGGCCAGATGAGACTTGGCAAAAGGAGTCATCTGGGGCAAGAGGCTGGGCTGGATAGAAGGGGTGCGGACCACGGGCGCGTGCCGAGGGACCTGGACCACCGCCTCCTCGTCCTTGCAGAGCACCCGGGCATCTTCGCTCTCCAGAGACTGGGAGATGGAGGAGGTCGAGCTCACTTCATCTAAGTCTTCATAGTATCTCTGAGACAGGAAGGCTGAGCGAGACAGGCTGGCTATAGAAACCCAACAAGCATAAGTTAGACAACTCATAGGATGTCTAAGAGCGATGTCGTCTTTCCTGGAGATGGAGACAGAGCCAATGTAATTATTCCTGGGAGCTGAGCTACAGACAATAAGAATATCCTAACTGTCAAAGAGAAGTATATGAAAAAGTAAGAGGAACACTGACAGCCAGGAGCTCATGCCTGTCATCCCAGCCACTCAGGAGGCTGAGACCTGAAGATCATGGTTCGAAGCCAGCCCAGGTAGGAATGTCTGTGAGACCCTTATCTCCAATGAACCACCAAAAAAGCAGGAAGTGGAGCTGTGACTGAAGTGGTAGACCGCTAGCTTTGTTGTTTTTGGCCAGTCATAGGGCCTGAACTCTGTCTGGGCCTGGGCACTGTCCTTCACCTCTTCAGCTCAAGGCCAGTGCTCTACCACTTGAGCCATAGCGCCACTTCTGGCTTTTTCTGCTTATGTGGTGCTGAAGAATCGAACCCAGTGCCTCATACATGCAAGGCAAGCACTCTACCACTGAGCCACTTTCTCAGCCCGAGCGCTAGCTTTGAGCACAAAAGTTCAAGGACATCACTCAGGCCCTGAGTTCAAGCCCTAGGACTGGCCAAAAAAAAAAAAAAAGAGAGAGATGAATTTCCTGCTGCTGGAAAAGTATGGGGGCTGTCAGCTCACTGGTAGAGAAAGAATAGGAGGGAAGCAGCAGGGTCGAGTCACCCTGCTGCCGGAGTGTCCCCACAGCGACCCAGCCCCGAGTCCAACAACCCAATGATTCTTCAGACTCAACTAGGCTTACAAACACACATTTAATCCTAGCCTGTTCTCTTGCTTGTTTTTTTCCCCCTCCTTTAAACTATGAAGTCAGACTTTAAGGCACATTACTTTCTACCACAGGGAAGGCGGGGCGGGGAAGAAAGAAAATACATAACCAAAATTCAGAGGGCAGAGATGTGACTAATATCCAGAGATGTGAGCGAGAGAAGAAAGCCTGTGTGATGCTGCCTGCAGAGGAGGAGTGAGGGGCGACCACAGAGACAAGCGGCTCATCCCACCACCGGAGGGGTCTGTGTTCTGCCAAAACTTTAATGATTTGGAGGTGGTATTTTCTCCAGAGCCTCCAGGTGTGAGATCAGCCTGGCTAAAACCTTGATCAGGTGAATCTGTACCAGCCTTCAATCATAATCCTCTGGCTCTCCACCTCCGGGGTACTGGGGATCACAGGAGTGAGTCTGGATGCCTGGTGGCATGGGTCCAACTTTGTACCGTGTGTGGAAGCTCATGAGTCAACCTAGCAGTACGTCAAGAGCTATCCTGCACGTGTGACAAGTACATACGTGTGCTCATTATGTTCTTGCAAGTGAAGGTTTCAGTTTTTCCAAAGTAATAAGTAAAAGACAGGAACAAAAAGGTGAAATAATAACCAGTAAAGGCTTAACTGTCACATGTCTCCTGTGGGGAGAAAAAAGGTGGGAGCAGCAATGCAGTTTCTAACTCTGGGTCACAGGGTCTCTGGTCATGTATTCTCCACAAAATATGCATTACATTTCATAATTCTAAAAATAAAAATATTTACACAATGGAAATAGAGCTATGTGTTAAGAGGCAGAATGTTAGCCTTGAGCAAAAAAGCTAAGTGAGAGAGAGTATGAGGCTCAGTACTGGTACCTTGCACATGCATACACAGATGTGTGTGTGCAACACATACACACACACACACACACACACACTCAAGCATACACACATGAGAAAAGCAAGCTGCAGAGGAATCAGTTGTAGGAAAAAAGCCACAATTTCATTAAGAAAACCAATGGTGAATGCACAATCTACCATTTACCACAGGCAGTCACAGGGACCTGGGACCAGCTCAAAGTGACCCTGGTGCTACCCTGAGGCCTTCTCCAGAATGCATCAGGTCCATCCCTGTGCAGCCGAGGCCCTGTATGCCACCAAAAGTTGACCCCCTGACCTCAGGGGGCTCTGAGTGGTGCATGAGCAGTGGAGGCAGATCCCTCCTGCATGTGAAGGAAAAGGAAGTCCACACTGTGGCAGGGCCTGCACTCCCAGATCTGGGGATGCACCCAGCGCACACTGCCCTGACAGGATGCTTATTCCGATCACAGTGATGTGGCTCTGACACTTGCAGCTGAGACATAAATGGTGAGTTCTGTGCTAAGGACAAGCCATTCAAGTCCCCTCCTACCTATCACAGAAAAGCAGCTGTGAACACAAAAGCAGAGCAAGCGTGAGGCCCTGAGTACTAGCACAAAAAAGATAAAGCCTTATTTCTCTCCAATACAGTACAACACAACTCCATGCCACACAGGAGTGTAAAGAGGAGGTTAGGACGCAGCTTGGCCTGTGGGAAAGGCTGCTCATCACTGCTGGCTTTGTGGGTGGGGCCAGCAGAGAGCAGGGCAGGGCTCAAGCAGCTACTGTGCGTTGCTTGCCACAGAAAATGACGCCGCCACTTGCTGCAGGGTCTCCAAGGAGACCAAACGGTGACTCCCCTATCACACCCAGAAGCACACCCCCACACCACGTCCGTCATGGTTCTAACTAAAAATGTTACCTGGAGCTGTGGACCTCACAGGTGGGGTCTTCCTCTTGGCCAAGAAGTTTCTCAACTGGGCCTGTTTCACTGGGGACAGTTTAGCTGAAAGAAATTCATGAATCCATAAATGCTTATGGCTCAGCACTTTTTTTTTTTGGGTCCGGT